TGAGGGGCCAACTCGTCCCGCTCGCGCGCACTCACCATGGCCACTTCCCCTCAGACCCCAACCAGCAACAGCTCCAGCTAGAGGCGGTCACGCCCCGCCCCCACCTCCTGACCGCCCCTCCCTAGTCCCTACACCTACAGAGAAGGGAAAGGCGAGGAGGTGGGGGTGGAGTGTGCGCCGCTTGCAGGGAACTTCCGCCCCCTGGGCCGATAGAGGGCGCTGCCCTCGAGCGCCCTGTGTGGGGCGGTGTTCCCTAGCAACCGGACTGAGCCGCAGGGCATGCCGTGGCCCCGGGCCGTGCGCCGCACTTAGTTTCGAACAGCCCGTGGGCCCAACCTCTGACCTCCCAGACCTCTCCTCATGCCTCCTACAGGCCTGGGGCCCACCCCACCCCTCTCCCATGTGGCCTCAGGCACCAAAGACCAACCACCATCTGCCTATGTGACATGTCACCGCAAGGCCGGTGGTTGCCAGTCCCTTTTCCATCTGCTGCATCACCCCCTGGGTCTGCACTCCTAGAACTCTTGCCTTACAATAACTGGCAGTCTGGGAACCCCACAGTTATGCCCACAGGGTCCTGGGATCCCCTCCCCCCATCTTGCTTGCTCACCTCTCTTAATAGCAACTTTGGGGTTTGCTTGGGATTGTCGTCCTTTGTTTGGGGGTTTTGTTTAAAATTTCTTGGGTTTTATTTGCAGTTTATTAGAAAAAATGAAAGAAGGGTGAAAATTGGTGTGAAAATTAGTTTTATCATTTTCTGGTATATATCTGGTTTAATATTGTGGAAAAAGAGGACAGGAAAAAGCAACATTTGGAGAAAAGTACAAGAATTGAAAATAAAAGCAGCTTAATGATGTCTTAGTTCCTTAACTATATAGTTGCAGTGTGTACACATATGCATGCTTTCTGTATTCTACTACATTACCTTTTTTCACAGCCTCACTTTTCCATTTAGACTAATTTATTATTAGCACAGCTATATGATATAATGTATTGTGTTTTCTTAATCAGTATTTTCATGTACCTGGGTGAAAAGTAAAACATTAATCTCAGGGTAGCTGTGTTAGTTTGTAAAAACAATTGTAAAAACAATGAGTCCTGTGGTATCTTAAAGACTAACCAATTTAGGTAGGCATAAGCTTTCAAGGGTAAAAACAACTCTGTTAGATGTTAGAACCACTGACAAAGTAGTTTTTACCCACAAAAGCATATGCCCAAATAAATGTGTTAGTCTTTAAAGTGCCACAGGATCCCTCTTTTTAAAAAAATAGTTTTTGTAAAACCAGGACAGTTTGGGCTGAAGTTAATAAAAATTATAAACTTCTTAACCATGCTTCTAGGACCTAAGAAAGGCATTCAACTTACAGAAACAACCAATCTGCATCAGTGGACACTGTTCTGTCTGTCTGTGTGTATATATATATTGATTCTCAAAACTAACCAAAACCCAATGGTGGTAACTTTTTTTGACTGCCATTTCAACTTCATAGCACTACAGTTTATTTAATGAGTTGCATTAGTTACAAATGAAAGATATTTACTATAGCTTGTAAATGAAATTTTGCACTTTTCATACTGGAACAAAAAAAGTTTCAAGGGTAAAAACAACTCTGTTAGATGTTAGAACCACTGACAAAGTAGTTTTTACCCACAAAAGCATATGCCCAAATAAATGTGTTAGTCTTTAAAGTGCCACAGGATCCCTCTTTTTAAAAAAATAGTTTTTGTAAAACCAGGACAGTTTGGGCTGAAGTTAATAAACATTATAAACATGGTGCCTCGGCCAGACACCAGCGCAGGTGCTCTGGCATCTGGGGAAGAAGCCGGCAGGGGAATGGCACCGCGGCCAGACGCCAGCGCAGTCACATTGCCTATTGCGGCAAGGGGCAGGGGCGGAGGCACCAGTGGGGACGCACCCTGGGGGCAGGGCGACCTCAACGGCACGGGTTTTAAAATGTGCCAACTCCCAGGTGGGGGGGAGGGAGAGGGAGCCTGAAGAGTGTCTGGGTTCCAGTGGGCTGAACGCCTCCGGGGAAAAGGGTCCAGAGCTGGATGCAGTCAAGTTGTAATGCGTTAGCGGGTGAGTAGGTAGAAGCCCAGGGCAGGGTTTTGAGCCTGTGGGTCAGTGTGTTTCGGGCGGCGTCCCTGCTGACCACAGGAGGCAGAGAGAAAGAGATCTCCCCCTCCCTACGGCCCTGGGCTGGGACCCCCTGTTCCCTGTCCGGGGTTGGGAAGGTGAGGAGTGCTCCGAGAGGCGCTAGGGCCTCAGTGAAGTCCGAGTGGGACTGGGGGTTGTGAGCAATAAACACGTTGGACACAGCCCAAGTGTGGCTGTAATGGACTAAAACGAAGGAAAAGGGGCAGGAAGCCCCGGGGAAGGGGACAGGACCCTCTCACACACCTCCTTCCCTCCCAGGTTTGGGTGGTCCTGCTGTCGTGTTACCATGAGTGACAAGGTGCATCTGTTTGCCCTGCAGTAGCGCCGAGTCGTCAGCCCCATTCCTCTCTAGGTGCTGCAGGAACAGCAGAGACGCCGCCCGCTCCCAAGAGCTCACATTGAGAGTCATGTGGACTCTTCGGAGCTTCCATGTCTATACAGAACCAAGCGCAGTGAGTCCCTGAGCTGAGCCTCTGATGCCCACTGGCTTTGTGGAGGTCGATTTGCACCAAGGGGCCTGGGCAAAAGCCCATCTAATGCACAGAACCTGGCCCAGGCAGCTTGAAAACAACTGGTTCCTTCCCTCCCCTTTCTATAGAGAAGGCAAGAGATGCCTTGAGAGGAATGACACCAGGAACAGTTTCTGTTGGATCCTGTCCATTTGTGAAATATGCTAATACAGGTTGGACCTCCCCAAACCCGAACTCCCTCATCTGGCAACATCCGTGGTCCGGCAGGGAGCTGCAATGGCAAGAGGGCTGGCAGCTTGGAGCCTGGTGGGGCTGGAGCTGGCACAGGAGCCCTGGTAGCGTAGCAGGGGCCGCGGCAGCCCCAGGAGCAGTGCCCGGGGAGGGGGCGGTGGGCAATAGCAGGGCCTGGGCTGGAGACCTGGCAGCTGGGGTAGTGGGGCTGGGGCAGTCTGGGCTGCTGGAGCCACAGCAGCCTGGCAGGGTAGGGGGATGGCTAGGGATGGCTGCAGAGAGGGAAGGTGGTTTGGGGAGCTGGTAGCTGGGACCTCTTCTGGTCCTGCAAATTCCCTCGTTCAGGACCAGTCAGGTCCAGAGAGGTCCAGCCTATATTGCACACAGCAGCAACTTAGCTCCTTGTGGACACCTGAAGTGCTACATTGCCAGACTTACTTAACACCAACTGTCCAGGCATGTTGTGTGTTTTCTGAGGGATTTTTTCCCCAGGGCTGACTGACCTAAAATTAGCCTTAAAGTGCTAGGCACCAGAACCAGCGATAAGCGAATCTTGATAGGTTCAGTGTCTCTGGTCAGGTATTTCCCCTAGATCTGATAACTTCTGGGGCAGATAGAACAGGTCTCTTGAGTCTGATTAGCAGCATATAAGAATAAGCCCGAGTGATTTCCCTCGTGGTCACAATATTGTCCATGGAGATTTCCCTGGTGTTTGAGGTGGGCTGTTGTCCTGTATTAGACAAGAAATTCATTGAGGCCACATGGCTTGCTTAATTGTAGGGTCTTTCCATTGACATAGTTGGACTTTGTATCAGCGCCGCACGTTGCAATTTGCAGAGCATTCTGAATCGATCCTTCAGACCAACCCGCTGGATGGAGCAAGAGAACATCCTTGTCTCTCTGTGCCATTCACTGGGAGAGGGACCCGCCTTCTGTTTGAGAATGTGGCCAACAGGAACGCTTGTCGGACTTATTACCGTGGGTGACATATTGCAGTGACCGCTAGGAAAAACACAGCCCTGGAGCTGACAGTCACTGACTCAGGGCACAGGTGTTCTGCAGCTCTCCTGCCTGCCTTTCTTGGCAGACAGAGGCTGAGGAACTTGTTGCTAATTATTCTAATTGCTGTTCCCCATCATAGCTCAGGCTGCCAAAGTAGACCCTCAACTGTAGATCTGTATGCTAGGTTGTCACTTTCAGGGCCAACCATGCCAGCTTAGCAGGAGTGATTGATGAGCTAGGAGGTCTCTGCTTTTGATGGCGTCTGTCCTTTGACCAATGATAAGGTGATAACAAAGCTTGGCATGTCCATAAAGATGTTCATCAGAGGATCTCAAAGCACTTCCCTGGGAGGCAGGGCAATCATCCCCCCTACCCCTGTCGGCTGGGCACTTGTGTGGCCACTCGGGAGAAATTCAAATGCTGCCCAGCTGATTAGCACAGTGCTCTCTGCTCGGATTGTTGTTACTACTGGTGGTGCACATTCACACGTGCCTTGGTGCATTATTCTGCACAAGAATGGAAAAGATTAGAAGGGTCATTGGTTGCCATATAACACTGGACTCCCAGACACCATAACTCTTTTGGCATTAGAAAGGAAGGACGGTTTGGCATTGGACTTGCATGTGACTCCCCACCTCAACCCCAGGTGTGTGCTGTGACCTTGGGTGACTGTCTCCCATTCCCACTCATCAACCTTCTCCCCGTCAAAGGTGGTACTGTGATCACCCTCTGGGTATGTCATTGCCAGGGGCTGAGCCCAGGGCGTCTAGGTCTAGCCCACATCTCGCTGGCCTCTTCTACTTGAGCCCAATAGGTGGAGTGGGAAGAGGTGGCTGTCCTGTGTTGATCAGCTGCAGGATGGTACATGGTCACGATTGGCCAGCATTTACCTTGCAAGGAGATATATGCTGGAAACAGGGCCTTATCTAAAATCCTGCACTCGAATGCTTTCGGGTATGTCTACACTGCAATTAAATACTTGCACTGCTGACTCGGTCTTGAAGGGGAGGGGCTGCTTCTGTGCAATGTAGATGTGCGTGCTTAGGCTGGCTCTAGGACTCTGCAAGGTGGGACGGGCCAGCAGTGGGGTTTTAATTGCAGTATAGACATACCCTTAGGTGCCGCAGATAAGGATGTTAAATTGTGGTTATCTGGCTAATCGTGTAGTCAATACAATTTGTATCCACTACACCATTAGTCGATAGGGCTGCTCTGCAGCG